CGAGTTCGGCATCATCAAATATTTTCGAACGCGTGATGTACCGAACTCGGTCTGCCAGGTTTTGCTCGGTGACGGTTACAGACGGCTCCAGCTCAGCAAAAAAGCGATGCATCCTTGCCCGATACGCAAACCCTCCAGTTTCACTCCCTTTCGCCCTAAGATACGCCCGCATTGCGTTCTCATTCATCTTCTTCGTCCAGCGCAAGCGGCGTATTCCACCAGCGGCGGGTGCCGATTGCTGGATCCGAGAGGACCCTGCCGACACCAAGCCAACTGGTGGGGATGATGGATGCGAGGTACTGCATGGTGGTCGTGCAGTACCCCGCGATCGGCTGGCGTCCCGCATGCTGCTACGTCCAGCGCCAGCTCCAGACGCGCCCTGGCGGCCCCCAGGCAGCGGCCCTATGCGCTTTCTTTGAGAGTCCATCATCCATTATTGTTTAGGGCGTCGTTTAACGGAAGACGCCCCCAGACCGGCACCGTTTTCTATTGAAACACTATTGTGTGGCCATACGCACAGGCGGGCCTATGCACCCTAACTTTTGCCGAGGCACGGTGCAGACACCTCTTGGCAAGGCGCTGACTGATTGCGCCGACGCAACAGTTCTGTCACTTGAACTGTTACGCCGGTGGGCGATGGGGTCGTCACTTTATATTATTATTATTATTATTATTATATTTTTTACAGTTAGTTTTTGCATTTATTGTTCTCGATTATTCTTATATAGCTGAAACAATGTTGTGTCACCTAAAAATTTATTTTTGTATTTGTATTTTTGCTCGTTATTCTTTAATTTTTTTTTCTTAATTTTACTGTAATTATTTGCTGTTAAATATTTTACATATATCAGATTTTTTTTTTTTTTGTAATCTTATTGTTTAAACGTGAAATGCATGTACTGCTGGTGTCCTTATTGACACCTTACGTAAACAAGTCCATTTTTATTAACAAAATAAATCCTTACTAATATTAAAAAGGCGAAAGTCGGTTCATAAACGTAGCCTGAAACGTACTCTTTAGAAAACGAACATAAAAAAGTACAAACAAATTGAAAATGAGCTGAGTGGTATAGAAGGCACGGTTTAATGTCGCACGATAATATTATATCTTTCACCCATTCACTAAGATAGTTCCGTGCGCTGAATTGTGCACGCATTGACTTGACTGGGTATGACGTTGAATGGCGCACAGAAATCATAAATGGCCGCCGAGTGGATCGAACAATGGCGGGAATAATTGAGGCGCCATGACAGGAACGGCATAGATTAGCTGCGGCAGATGTCGCAGAACGGTAATTGTGTTAAAAAGTTACCAGTCAAGTGAATTTATATTTTGTGTTATTAATTATTAACAAGTTTATTATATAATAAACTTATTAAAAATTATATAATGACGGTCAAAAACGGTTAACAGCCACAGATTACTTGTCAAGCTAAATTTTATACGTGTAAAGGTTATTTCGAGGTTATTTAGACTGGAGACAATGCGGATTTGTCTTTTGTACTTGATAAAGGAATTTATAAAAGAACAAAAAGCAGTGAATTTATTTATTACTAGCTGCTGCCCGCGACTACGTCTGCGTAGAATAGGCTGAAGGCGTAACATTCAGACAGAAAGACATATATTCATAAAAATATGTATCTAATTATAGCCTATGTCTGATTCTGATGTATAAGCTATATTATTGTAAAGTTTCATTAGAATCCACTCATTAGTATTTGCGTGAAAGAGTAACAAGCATCCATCCATATACACAAACTGTCGCCTCTATAATATTAGTAAGGAATATTATTAAGTAAGGATAGTGATATCGATGAAGATGTTGGTCAATGCTTCGTATTTCTTGGTTTAAAGCAATAAATTTAATTTCAGACGCTCTAGAAACTAAACGAAGCGATCATCATCCTCACCACGCGAAATTCTCGACGTCTTACCTACTACGTTATCATTGCATTTGTAGCAACGCTTGACATTATCTAATGTCATTCCTTTTACAGCAAATCACTCTTTCTTAAATATCTACATTTTAACCGACTTCAAAAAAGGAGAAAGTTCTATGTTCAACTGTATTTTTTATGTATATTCACCGATTTGTGAACCGAGTCTCAATTTTTTTTTTACAATCAATATTTAAAAACTGTCAGATGTCACCTTTGCTATTGACATTAAATTTTTAATTTTTACTGCCAATTAAGTGATAGTTTTATCTACACATTTTTAGTTTAATTTCTACAGATCAGACTCAAAAATTAAGAAATAATTTGATAATAGTTTATTTATGTTTACTGGTTTTTACCTTTTATCTATATACATTTTTAAACGTAACAAAATTAAAAAAAAAGTGCAGTTTGAACACAACAACATCTAACGAGTTTTAGACGCCTGGACAACATTTAACAAGTGGGCCCCTGTTACCTCAGTCACCAGACAGAACGCGAAAGTAATATACGAGCCTGCCCATTTATGCAACATCCGAAGATGCTGCGTGGCCTACCACATTATTTCGTGCCACAATGAAATTTTATTACTCTTGTAGTCTTTAAAGAGCGATTATCTTTGATTTAGTCATGTGACTTTTGACAATATGGCTGTTTATTTATTCTCTCAAAGGCTAACTATAACTATACAGCGAGGGACTGCACCTAACATTATTTGCACCATAGCGTATGGAGTGGGTTTGTTAGACAGTTTTTTTTATATTAATTTGTACATACTGCTTATTCCAAAAGAGTTAATACGATCAAAAAAATTCTAGGAATCGTAGCTGATATGATTTTTTTTAAATTTCAGACGTTTATTAGCGCTTTGAATTAAATAAAAAAAATTAAAAACTTTAAATAGACCAAACGTTTTCAATTGTTCTGTGATGCTCCGAAGATAATACCAGCTCTAAGGGTCTTTTCCGGCACCGTATCCTGAAGGTTTTGGCCTCGAATTGGGACTGGCAACGCTGAGATTCGGCGATTCGCTTGATTGACACAACGATCAAGTTATGAATCTATTTTTGCAGATAGTATTGTTAAATCGAATATAAATTCTCTATTTTTGAAATAGTTTACTGACCAAAATTAATAAGCAAATCATTTTCAACCCGTCGTTGATGTTCTGTTCTGCTGCAAGAAGACGCCAGTGAACGGTGTGGAGGTTTCACAGAAGACCAGTGTGCAGTAGAACATTTATACTCTTGCATTACGGCAAGTGGATAAAGAGTGAGGCTCACACCACATTCTCCATGGTTGGCCCCATGGGCGGCGGTTCACAACCAGGTGAACTTGTGAACTAGTCACCGCTCCGGACACATTCCGTTCCAAACACGCCACTAGCTAATATCGACATATTTTATCTGGGACTAATCAACAATTATCATAACGCTATCGCGAATCGGCTGACAGATAAAACAACAATCCTGCGGATAGCTTACCTCGTTACTGGCTCAGTGGTCCGCGACCGTGCGTTAAATAAAAAAAAAACCATTTAGGCGCGAAACTATAACCTAAAATAAAGATTATAGATAAAAATTAAACCAATAAAGCGCTAAAAGTAAGCGATAATATTTCGGGATAAATTAAGATAAGAAGAAAACTATACCAAAACTCCAATAGCAATCTGTCGATTGCCCGATTTCGAAAGAAAAAGTTAACAATTTAGGCGAGATATAATTATAAGGAAAATTAAATTCGTTCAGTGTTTATAGTGATGTGTTTATTGTGATTTAAGTGTGATTCGTCCTAAAAAGATTCAGGGTGAATTAAGCCATATACGCTGTAATTTTTTAACACCCAATTAAATGTATTAACGGCTGTCAAGGGATGTGAGTTCTAAACGCAACATGTATGTTAGTGTTTCACTAATTTTCCTAATCATTATTGTCTAGAAATCGTTTGTGAAGTAATATTTTCAGCAGTAGACGATATATCTTTACCATTAACAATGAATCGCATAGACTAAGCAATGATTTTAATTTTATTAGTATATTATTACGCAGAGCTTTTATACGACCAAGTGCAAAGAATGCTTCGCTCCACAACAAATACTATAAAGCGCTGGCATTTTGTATTGGCCCTACTATTATGCGAATGAATACATATTTAGTTTTCAAAATTTGGTTACATTTTTACTACATAACTAAGGAACTTTGTGAATCTAAACCATTCTCCAATTGTCCTCGAAGACACAAAAAATTTCATTAAAATCGGTCCAGCCGTTTAGGGAGTTCAGTGACGCACACGCACAGAATAATTGTAATATAAGTATATATTAAGATATTTCAATAACTTAATTAATTTTAAATTATTTAATCAATTTGTTTTCAATGTCGATTCAATAATTTAGTTCACTCGTGACATTATCGTATCATATATCTAAATCATTCTTCGATAAGAATGCGTTTCTTGTTTTTAATTGGCGCAAAATAATTGTGTGACAAAATAACAGTAACGTAATGAGATTACGTAATGCGTGTTCAATCCTCTTCTTTATGTGAGTAGGTGGCTGTCCAACTGATGTTAATGTTAAGGGATCACCGTCGACCTTTGACCTTTGCAACATTTTGTCCGTAATGCGTGAACCTTTAAATAAAGTCGGCCCCGGCTACCTCACTCGCCAGACGAAACGCAGAAGTACTTACATACACTTCCACTTCGCACCGGTCTTCTGCGAGGTCCCACTTACCCCGGACCTGGCCGTTCAAACAATGACGAATTTTAGTTCAAATGAATTTTAAAATTTTGTCTGCATTTAATAAAATAACATATGTAGCGATGTTTCACGTTTTATTACGAATAGCACCGAAAATCCCCAAGAAAATGAGATTAACCTACCCCCCCCCCCCCCCCCCGCCCCCCATTAATTTAAAAACAAATAATGTGCCGTTATAGCATTTAATCGATTAAAACAACCAAGGATACGAAATCAAATCAATCCAACGTAGCTGACCGTTATCGGATACAATTACACGTAAAGAAAGATTATTCGTTATCTGTGATAAAAGAGTTCGTTAATGGAAGACGTCGGACATAGTCCTTTGTTGAAGTTCTTCGTGAGCGGAAAAACGTGAGTGAATTATTTATAGCATTGTCTGTGTTGTCCGTTATGTGGGGTAATTCGTGCTTTCTTTTTAAACATTTTCCCGCGCGAAGGCAATGGGAATCTAAGCTCGTACAGCCAAGGGCGTGATAAGGACAGTCTTATTTGATGCCTTAAAGCAAAAATACTTTTAATATTATGTATATTTCATTTGCCTTAATGGCAAGAAACTTTTTTTTTACGTCGCAATGGACACAGTACCTTTTTAATTAAGTAAGTTTCATGAAAAACGAGGTTCTTTAATTTTTATATATTTCATAGATATGCAATACTTTTTCGAGATCTTATGCTGTGTAAACGAAGTTAAAAAGAACAATCCACAGATTACAGACTAGTTTTATTTTTTATTTTTGAGGCAAAATCAATACGAAAAAGTTTTATTTATTATCTTTCATTGCAGTTACCTTGCAAAGGGCAGACAACAGATACTTTTTGGAATACTTGGTAATTTAAGGCCTTGTCAATACATGTTTAATAAAACATTTTTAGCATCATGTATGTTATTGAATTCACAATATTCGGCCAATTCGGGTTCCAATCCAGAGTCAACACGAACGAAATTAAAATATATTAAGCAATTAATGCCAATACATCACGCGCCCGCTCGTTTAGATAACGTAAGATATCGTGCAATTCTGTAGTAGCAATAAAATAAACATAAAACTTCTCATGAACTATGTCCTAATTCAACTTGAAAAGACCTTTATCCCAACTGGATGATGTTTATGTCTTAATGAAAACATCATCAGTTACTAAGCCCGAAATGATTACAGAAATATTATAAAAATCCTTAAACTGGGTCACTGGCTTTTCGAAATATTGTCTGTAAATAACATGTAATACTGTTTCCGTGTACGAATAAATATCTCAGTCAATTTCTTTTGCTTTTATTGTTACATATTTAAGATGTTGTTTGACTATCTCATTGATGTATTAATGCCGATGTTTATAAGTGATTCATATACACCTCCCTCCGCTCTCTTCTTCATGTCTCATTAACAATAAGAGGTGATAAGACCGCCAATTGTACTTCCTTTTATATTGATTTGTAATTTGCTTTATATATATTTTTTTTTTTTTTTTTGGTGTACAATAAAGTATAAATAAATAAATAATAATGTTGTATTGCGGTGCAATCTTCACCTGTGTGTGCCCCGTGTTTTAATTATAGAAAAAGATTTAAGGCATAATATGATATGATAAGGCATAAGGAATATCCAATGTGTTATAAAAATGTGTTACACCAATGTATATAAATGCAAATGTCATTATTTTAAGTATTATTCAAAGAATGAAATTAAATTCGTTGAATCCCTTTAGTTAGAGTATATAAAGGCGAGGATAGACACTCGCACTCAGAGACCTAAACTGCTTGTAACTTGCTTGTGCTAGTTAACTGCTGTTAAATTGCTTACCCTGCGATGTTTCCACTTGGCCTTTAGTAAGAATTAATTGACGTCCCTGAGTCCTCTGTCCGTTAAACATAAACTTTCGCAATAGTTAAAGATTCACTTTTTGGTTCACTGAAACTAATTTTTTTACTTTCTTAATAAAACTATATCTTCCATCACTTTAGAAAGATGTCAGAGTCTACTAGCATTGAGTCCGAAGTACCAGGCGAGCAGAAACTCCGAGAGGGTGAGGCTCGCGCAGACAAAGAAAACTCAACTTTGATAACGGGCGCTAAGGCTCAAACTTCGCTGCAAGAGGGTGCGTCCGAGCGAAATGCAACTCTAAGTACAGGCGACACGGGTGAAATCGCAACGCCAGACGACTTCACCCTAGAGCCCGTCATAACAGTCACTAAGCAGGAGTCCACGCTGACCAAAGGCGAGATGAAGCTGCAGAAAGTGACCGTTACGGAGGACATATCGGTAAGATACCAGCACTTGTTCAAAAAGCAAACGACGCCCGGCAAAACCGTGGTGACCACCGTACAGAGGTTGGATTACAAGTACTGAATATAGTGGAATCAATAAACTTGGAACAATGACATGTCTTTCATTTATGTAGGGCTAGTTATTCTACTTTATTGCAGACTAGCGACCCGCCCCGGCTTCGCCGGTCACAATGTACACATAATGAAATAGTGTGATTTTCACTATAGAAATCCGCCATTTTTTTGTTATCAATATGTAAATTCTGCTCCTATTTCTGGGAGGTCATAAAAAAAAATAACCGCGAACGTTCTAACCTAATCTATCCGAGTCGGATTGCTCTGTGTTGGTTCTGTTACTCATTAAATTAAAAAATAATAGAAATAAACTAAATTGAATATCGCGATTTTTCCCACGATGGGTAAACTCTTTGAATCGATCAGAATGATCCTTATCCTTTTGGCGACGGAAATAATATTTAAAAAGCCATTTGACAGCTGATTAGTTGACTTCTAATCAGTGTTTCAGAAACCGAGCGTTAATCCCTGTCTGTCTCGCTCACATTAAAGAGGCCCTCTTATTTACTCTATGGCAAAATTAATAACTGAACCATATCATTGTAAGAAAAATCAAACAACAAACAAACAAAGACAAACGAACTGGCGGTTCACTGGATTTTAAGAGATAACTACCGTCCAAGGATATTTGCCACACCCGTAGGGTTGCAGATGCGTCACTACCTGTTAACAAAGTGGGCCCCGGCTACCTCACTCGCCAGACGAAACGCAGAGGTGTACATTTCCACTTCATACTGTTCGTGAGGTCGTGGTGCCTCCTCGGACGGACCAGCCCATTCGTAAAGCAGCGAAGACTGTTTATTTATTTATTTATTTATTTGCCATTACACAAGGTACAATTTATGATGGTACAATTATAACTATTTTATTTCTACATGTATAGCCACTTATAAATAGCATGCAAATATAAATTAGTCAATATTACAAAAAAAAATATATGCGATTAAGTCATTTCATTAAAGATTCTAAGTTTAAATTTATATATTAATAATCAAATAATAACAATAATTAGCCTATACTATAAATTGATATGAAAATAAGTTGTGCTTATGTCAAATATAATTAATTCAATTCATTGTGGCGTGAACTTGACAGAATTCATTTATAAACTAGTAACTTAGATGTTCTAAAAATATCCATCATAATAAAGTAAATATTTAGGACAAAACAGTTTGAAGTGGTTGAGAATTTAAATAAATATTTAGGACACATTTTTACACAACTCTGGCGCGGGTCGTCTCTCGAAAACAACTAATGGCAAGAGATTAATTATAAAGATTTGTTGTTTTATACTAAATATGGCCGGCCTCACTTTCACACGGCTAGATATAATTTTCCATATTCAATTTATAAACGAATTTTTATATTTTTCTAATCTGTGCACTTCAAGGTGAGAATTATCAATTAGTATTACGACGTCATTTGCAGACCGCTCTGATTGGTTGGCAGTCGCGCTAAATTAGTTAGGATATTTTTCAATTACACGAATTCATTAATTTGAATAACGGTGGTAGGGCCACGCAGCAGCCTCGGCTGTTGCACGAATGGGCAGGCCAGTCCGGGTAACTACCACGACCTCACAGAAGACCAGCGTAAAGTGGAAGTATGACAAATACTTTCGCGTTTCGTCTGGTGAGTGAGGTAGCCGGAGCCCAATTTTCAAAAGGTTGTCAACGCATCTGTAACCCTCGGGTGTAGCAGATGTCCATGGGCGGCGATATTCACTTACCATCAGGACCCGTCTGCGCGTTTGGCAACTTATCGCATAAAAAAAACTATTACTATGAATGTTTCGAACACGATTTTCAACTCGATCGTTTCCCACAATATTACATTCGTTACGTACCTAAGAAAATAATTAACATGCCAAGTTGGCAATAATTACTAATTTTTGTTAGCCGTCATAATAATTTTCGAAAATTACAAAATATTTCTTTGATGATTTCTTGCACCCATGCAACTACAACGGATTGTTAAACACAACTGCCATATTGTTAAATAAAACTATTTTGCGTTTCGAACACAAGGTCCTTAGGTAACCACACCCTGAAAGGTGTGAAGACCTTGTGTTCAGGACTTTTGACAGTTTTACCTTCAATCTAATAGACGACAAAATATGAAGACAATGATCCCTATAATATTTTTACTAAATAACATATCTTCAGATTAATCAATCAGAAAACAATTGCCCTTTTTGATGCCGTACTTCTTTTGGAGCGTTGGAAAAAATTATAAGTATAAAATTTTACGATGCACGAGCACATCACAGCGGATAAGCGACGTGATGAACTTCTCGTTTATACCGTGGATACCAATAACAACTTTTTGACATCACTACACAATATACAAGTATAATTTTTAACAAAAAAAACCGACGTCAAACAGAAAATTAAAAAACATTGTTAATACCTATTACATTCAACGATGGCCCTCGATTTCTCTGGGATGCCATCATCAGATCCGGGTTTCCTTATCATGGTACCACCCTTGAGATATTTCTTTGCAAACAAAAAAAGAATCATCAAAATCGGTTCATAAACGACGAAGTTATTCACGAACACACATAAACAAATATATATATATATACGGTCGAATTGAGAAACCTCGCCCTTTTTTGAAGTCGGTTAAAAACAAAGTCGTCCCGCTGTCTGTCTTTCCCTATGTATGCATAGATCTTTAAAACGGCGCAACAGATCTTGACGCGATTTTTTTACTAGATAGAATGATTCAAGAGGAAGGTTTATACGTATAATATTGCACCCGTGTGAAGCCGGGGCGAGTCGCTAGTTTACCTATAATTCCAATTTATTTAATTAAACTGTTAATGTCTTTTTCACAAACAAAGAATACTGGCAGATGAGATAATATTTTTAGTGGTTGTTCTTATATCAAACTAAAGAGAATTTTTTTTTCGGTAAAATCTTATTCGGTTTTTCACGAGAACTCATGTATGTCTTACAATCGTTCCAGCGGACGTCAGAGACGGAAGGTGCTGTTATAAACCGCCGCTTAACCTACGAGATACACACGAAGATACCCCATCCAGCGCCTACCGCATACGGTTCCAAAAGAGACGATCCGAAAGGACCGAACACTCAAGGTAATTATATTTTAATATTAATAATTGGTGTTGGTTACTATTTATATCGCTACATTATAAAGTGGACAAATAATGTCTCGCGTCAACAAAGTAATAAAAGCAATAGATAAATACTGAATCTTAAATTAAATAGTCGATTAGTTAAGTTGTATGTCTTTAATACCGGAAATGTTATAAAAATATTGCTTAGTAAAATTACATTACCTAATAGTAGCATTCTTCCGTCAAAATATAGCGTAGTTTCTTCTGAAATAATTAATTATTTATAATTAATGCCACACATCATCATAAGAATTACGACATAGGTAGTACGTAGTCTGTCTAAACACTTGAAACTAGTATGTAATGATTAAAAAAAATTAACAAGAGTTACCAGCCAGTCCTTCCATTGACTATATAACGCAAATTGATAATATCCCTAAATAAGTTTATCTATTTATTTCTATTTCCAGAAAAAGAAAGTACTGAATCTAAAAGAGGCAGGTCAAGAATCCCGATGGCTCGATTCAGGCAAGCAGTTGACAGAGTTAAAAGAGAGAGGAAAGAAATGAAGAACGCAGAGAAGGTACATGAAATGAGTTACATCCAAAAGCTATTACTTGGGGTTCAAGTTATTAGTCGATTCAATATCATAAAATTTAATCGTTTATGTCTTTTAAATTATATGATTTCGTTTGATTTAGATTGTCAATATGTACGACGTGTTGACGTCGTTGAAACCTCCTTTCTTTCGTCATCTTTTTGTCATAAATATTAGTACGATAAACCGAAAAGCAAAATTGAGAAAACGTCCAAATTCTTAACTCTGTCACACCTTTATTTGCAGACCATTCCAAACACCCATCGCAAGTCCTCGATACCGAGGCTTAAAGACAGTAAAATACCACATCCAACTGTCAGCAAAGAGGTAACAGTAGTTGATAGAGAGGAATCGGTCGCAGTAGCAGATGAAGACGAATTCGACAAAATCTTCCGCGAGATAAGCGAAAAGGAGACCACCTTTGAGATTTCAAGCAGTCGAGACCAGAGTCAAATTGAGAGCAGCTTTGAAGAGATCATACACGCTTACGAGGAGAACACAACTCAAATGGGTGGAGAAAAAATCAAGCAATCTAGGATCCCGTTGCTGAAACGACGAAGCGAACATGAGATTGAATTGTCACAAAACAGAGAGAAATTCAGAAAGAGCATTTCCGTTGATACGGATCAAGTTAGCAGTCCTACCAACCAAACTACTTATACCGCCGAGAGGTATACCACGACAGAAACGAAAGCATTCGCTGATACGAGCACTGAAAGAGTTACTTACAGAAGCAAGAAGTCATATAGCAATGACCTTTCTGTTGAGAAGCGTCAAAGAATTACTAATGAGGGGGATATTTATGACAGAATGGTAGGAACAGGCGAAACTCTAGAAAACAAGGACGAGGACCGAGACAAGGTTGCTGAAGAGAGGGTAGATGTAGATTCTATTGAAGCCACAGTTCCTGTTTTCGATGAAACTGACGCACATGCTAACTATAGATGGAACTGAGGCGGTAGTACCGAGTGAAGTCACCGAGAGTTATGACGACATAAATATGTCGTCAGATACACAACTCACCAAAATCACGAGCGAGCAAGTGCGTTTCGACAAACAAATAGTTTCGAAAATCTACAAGATCGATTTCACCGAAAACACTTTTGAGTTGACCGACTCGGAAGCACTTGACGTGTCCAACTTCACACAACAGTTGGATGGGAAGGAACGTAAAGAAATGATAGTGAGTTCGATTTCCAAAAACGATCCAATGTCTACGGTCATTAACGAAGGCAAAACGGAAAAGAAAACAGTATCCACTATTAATGATTTCGAAAATACCGCACAAAAGATAGATATCTCTGAAATGAAACATGAATATAATGATGTCAACAAGAAAAGTGTATCAAAATCTTACTTAATTGAATCATCGCAATCTTCTGTTATGACCGACCAAGATTTGCTACAATATCAGGTATCTAACAAAAGTGATTCAAATCGTATAACCGAGAACTCAAGTCCAGTGGAAGATTATACGGTCTGCAGAGTTAATGTCAAAAATGATGACTTAGAGATCTCTAAAGATTTAGTCATTGGGAACAGCACTAAGGAAATAAAAGGAATAGTGAGCAGTTTGGTCACTGAAGACAGTGCAAAGGAATTAAAAGATACAAGGGAAAATGTTAATTCATTCACCAAAGACAGCACAAAAGAAATAAAGCATACATCAAAAGTAATAACGGACCTAGTCACCAATGATACCATAAAAGATGTAAAATATACTGCTTCAGAATTAGTCACTAAAGTCGGCACAGAGGAAGAAAAAGAAACATTGAAACAAGTTACAAAAGTATATACATCTAACGATGAACGGAAAACTGTTTCTGTTGCAAAAAAATTCAAAAAATATGTAAGAGAAGATACGGAAGACAGCACTACTGACTTATTAGCTTCAGACAAAAAGGAAATAAAAGCATCTTATAACGCTGCTAATAAAACAGAACTTCCTACAACAACTATAAACTACCACAATTTCGACAGACAATCTTCATCACAAACAGCTGCTGTCAAAGCTACCGACGACTCTTATGATATGACGAAGCAAACTTCCGCCCCGCGGATCGCTAAAACCGCAAAATCAGATGTCAACGGCAATAGAACAGATCACGACGAAGAAACATACAAAATATACTCCGACGTCTTCACTAAAATCTCTGCGGCGCGTAAAATATCGACTGGATACGAAACTAAAACTGAAAAGAATACCGTAGTCGAGGAACCCGGTACGAAAACAGACACGGTGAGGGATATGTCCGTACCAGAAAACGAAATCGATTCGGAGGAGAACATACCGATTTTAAGAGGGAAGGTCAGTAGAATCATTAGAAGGATAAGCTCTATCGATAATTCGAAGGTAGACGAGAGTAAGGTCGTAAAAGACGTGCCGAAGAAGAAGACGATTTTGTCCAGAATCGCCATGTTTGAGGTAACTCCTTCCAATCGTAATAGATTCATTTGATTGATTTGAATTCTCTGCGAATAGAAGTGCCATATCAGTTCACTAGCCCTTGAGATTAAGCAATGCCTTTTCTGTATTGCAAAAAAACAGGATAATGTAAAAATTTCAATTGTTTATAGTGCTAATCTTTGCACTTAAGATTGAACATTACACAACACAACACAACAGCACTATAAACAATTTAAATTTCTAAAAAAGCAATGGCGACATCTCTCGTTCGAATTATCGTTGTAAAACGATATTCGAAATTGTTTGTATGCTGGAAAGGATATAACAATAGATGGCGCCAAGCATTGCTTCAAATGCTAAGAAAACAATGTAGAAGGATGCGTTAAGGTTTTCGTCGGTGTGGCAATCAGCCGTTTAGCTCAGTGGCTAGAGCGTCAGGCCGCGAATGCCGAAGACGTGGGTTCGATTCCCACAACGCCGACAATCTTTTCGTACTTCTTCTACATATATTAAGGATAATGTAAAGTTATTGTAACATTTTTATGTAAACTATTTGTAAATATTTTTATTTAAGTTATTTCAAATAATTCAAGTTAGACAATCAAAGATGAGATTGAATTGAAAGTACGACTAGACAACGTTGTATAGAAGCATACCCTGAAATGTTTGTGTTTATTTATTTACTCTAGTAAGTAATTAAAATTGTTGGTTTTTCAACCTCAAACACGTACACAAATCACACATTCATAGAACACGCTTATGACAAAATAAAGGCTGCTTTTATATTTCAGCGTGACGAGCCAAATGAACCATACCCAAAGGTCCCAATGCCGCAATCAGAATCAAAACAGCCTCGTGGTCTCGCTGCTCTACGACAAATTAGCAGAGACTCAAGGAGCCCTAGAATTGTGGACGAAATATTCAAAGAATACAGTGAACGTAGAAAATTTAATAGTACCTCGAACTTAACAAACACAAATAAGCATGAAGAAGAAATAACAATAGAAATTAAGAATGAAAAAGATCTAAATCGATCCGATTCCACATTTAAATCCAAACTATACGACTATAAAACAGTCAAGGACTTTAGCGAACTGCAAGTTGCAAAGACCCAACTTAACAGATCTTCTCGAGAAGATGTGAGAACAGAAGGGAAACTACTTGAGGTAGAAAAGACTACTGTCAGCTCTAGCAGTCCCTCACCTACGAACGGTACAAATCCACAAGAAATTGAAGAAAAAAGATCACAAGCAAGTTCAGAAGGAAAACTTTTTAACGGACAGTATGAATCAAGTTTTAAAATCACCAATAGCGTGACTATAAGTAAAACTAATATTTCACAGGAAGATTTAAACGCACTTAAACACTCTTATACAACGAAAACAGAATTAAGAAAAGAAAAGTCCAAGGTTCTCGACGAAAATACATTTGTTGCCCCAATATCTGATAGCGTACAACTCAAAGAATCGTCGAGAACTAACGGAAATGAGACAATCGATTCATCATACAAAGACGTTACCAAAGAATTTAGAACGACAGAGAAGACGGAGAGAATAAGAGAAGTGCGGAGAAGAGATTCTGATTTAAGAAGGGCTACCTCAGTTGTAGAACAGGATTTGGGCGATGTCATCAAAGGGAAGGTGAAAGGGATCATTACGAGGATTAATTCTATGGAGAGGATAGAACAGACGTCAAAGAAGATAGAAGACAAAGAAAGACCCAGGGGATCAGTATCGGAGAGGATCGCTATGTTCGAGGTAAGAGATGAATTTACTACATAGAAAGACGGAATTTGTTTCTTTGCTTGGATCAAATGGGTTATCCCTGAAAGTAATGATCCTTTTCTTGACCATTTTCAATTTCTTTTTTACTGATTTTACATCGTCTTAGAATATAGAAGGTCGAAATGGTCTTAGATTTTTTTCAAGTTATAGATCTTTCGGTGCGTTAGGGAAAAATGATGAGAATAAATTTTTACGATGCGCGCGCACACCGTTACGAAAAACCGACACCCTGATGTTAGCTAGATATCTACGTATGTTTGCGTGAGAACTGACAACTGTATTCACGATATTTATTTTGTGATATTTAAATAAACTTTATTTAATTAGATAATGCGTTATAATAAAACTTTCAATGTATTAAATACCTTTTTTCTATTGTTAGTGTCGTTTTTTTTATTGAAGTTATACTTATTTGGACGCATTTCGCGTGCACGCTGACAGCTAAATAGTCTGCAATAATTGGTTGCAAAGCGACCAACTTCACCATGGCAACCAATAACAACTTTTTGAGATTTACCTATAATTCCAAGTTATTTAATTAAACTGTCAATTGTCATCATTTAATGCCCTTTTCACAAAGAGTGCTGGCACAGGTTATAAAATAGTTATTTCTTTTCTTTTGTCACGTTATAGAAGTATTATTATTAGTATAACTTCTTACGTGCCTACATAAGTACACACGTTTTTTTTAAATTATTAACCTCAGTAAGTATTGTATAAAAATTCGGATAGCGAGACGGCGTTCCTTGTCTTAGCTTATTTTATATGAATAAATTACTATTCACCTCTCTTTCTTTCTTTCTGATTGTGAAAATACCCCCATATTAATCTGTAATAGGAAGAAAATCAGCAGTCGTTTCTAAGACTAGCAAGGTTTGACAAGCATGTGCTTAAACGGGTGTTTGTCTGTAGTAATATTGTAATGACAATATTTAACAGAAGTGATTATGTACCTCTTGACTTGAACCCTATGAAATGAAGAAAAAATATTATTTCGTGTTGCTTAGATTTCTATTCTTTTCTTTTCGTATTTTTTGAATTATTTATATTATTACTTCATTTATGATAATAATTGTGTTATATAAACTGTTTATTTTTTTTTTTTTTCAACTGTCTTTTTTTGGTTGATGTTGAAAAAACTTAAATGTAATAATGTTGAAAAAACTTATTTATTTGGTTCAAAGCCTTACGGCCAAAACAATAATTTAATAAAGCAGTGTGGCAACATTTAGATAACTAGTCATGCAATCTTTGGAGTGTAAAGGTAAGGAGAACCATCTCACATGGGAAAATAGTTGAAAGTGTCCACCTTGTCTTGTTGACTGCTCACTCAAAAAAGTTCATCAACTCTCCACAGCAGCGCTAGAGTAGCTAGAAGGTTAAAATGAACTCGGCAGTTGTCAACGCAGTGAAGTTTGCTGAGTTGAGGTATTTAAGATTGTTTATGTGCTGACTACTGTAGTTGATGAAAATGCAGTATTTAAAACGTCATGGTACCTATTAATTCACTACCACTGCCTAATTCCCACATGCTACCATAGCGCCACCCATTGGACGCATAACGACGGAAACTTTTTTCACATGGGAAAATATTCTTCCACCTGTCTTAATAATGCTTGCTTTGTCACTCAAAAAAGTTATCACAATTCCGCCAATGTCAAGGTTGTTAGCCATTACACGTAGGGGAATGACAGTTTTAAAATATAAATTTAGTTATCGGAGGTTACTGCTTTAAGCATGTTTTACTTGAAATAAAAGGACGTCATATATGCCATTGGACGCATAACGACGGAAACTTTTTATGCAAATATTGTTATCCATCGATCTAAACCAGAAATAATTGTCACCTTTCAAATCTATTTTTCAGCTGTCTATGTCAAAAATCGTTTGACATTGTTGTTTTTTTTTTCGTAAATCCACTTACATATGGTTGCCTTTTTGCGAAATCAGAATGGAGGACTATCGGATTTCTGAAATTGCATTAACTTTCAATGTTATTACTTAATTATACAATAAAGAAGAAGAAAAAACAAATAAGAACTAACTACAAACGAGTGAGCCTTAGTTTAACTGTATAAATGTAATTCGCGCCAATTGGCATATGAAATTGGCATTCAAAGGTGCTAGTTTTTAGACTTTCAATAGAATAAGCCTTTATGGAATAAAGAAATGTTGAATTTGAATTTTAAATGCAACATGTCGTGTTATCATTTCTTGTAACAATTGTCGAAATTAATGATAGATTGAATGTGACACTAGCGCCCCGAAAGTTAGGCACTCAAATTATGCAATTGTGAATTGGTGGAAGTACAACTTTATATACTGCTATCTCTTTCAGTATCATATGTTCTATATGACGATATAGAAAGTATGATACGGAAAGAGATAGACAGATGTGTCACAGAATGTAAATTGGAACAATTTTTAAACGCCGCGCAATATGCGCATGTGTCATATTCAATAAAGCATCACTGATGTCATTGGTGTCTCCTAGAGATGCCGAAAATATATCGATATATCGATATTTTTTTAAAAATGTATCGATATTTTTGGCTGATATATTTTGATCCGATATATCAATATAAAATATTCAATATCTTAACAGAAAATATCGATAATCGATATATTTTCTTTAGCATATCGATATTAATACTTTTGTATATGTCTATTCTTCAATTATTGAGCGCCGGGGGTCGTGGGTTCTATTCCCACATGGAACCAATATTTTTGTGATCCATATATAAATGTGCCGAATCTGGATATTTGTCCACGTGAAAATTATGCTTGTAAAACACTCTTACAACACAGGTTAATGTTATCCTAAATTAATGGCAATGTTTTTTTTTTTAATATTTTTTGGTATTATTATATATCCCAAGTAGACAAGGTTTAGATATCGTAGGTAATACTTAATTTTATTATTATACACTTCAACTTCGGAAGGTGCATTTTTTTTTTTGCTTTGTGACTTGTCGCTGTTTGATGTTCTTCTTATTCTTCTTTGATTAATGGGCTGTTAAATGTTTCATTACTTTTCACTTGACGTCGACAACTGACAGTAGACAGTTGTGTTCAAAAACCGCATATTGTCAAAACGACATTAGAAGTAAATAATTTCTATGGATATTTAAGTTTTTATCCTAATGAAAAATCCTAGTTATAGATATACAATTCGATACACTTACTTTTTACTTAATTTTGAATACATCTACTAGAATTACAAATTCCTTCGACTATACCAATAAACTATAAAAATAAAAAAAAAAAATAAAACCAGGTAGAGGCCTGTTTTTATTTTATTTTATTTTCTTCTATTTTTATTATCTTATATTATTAATATAGCTTAATATTAACGATATTTTCGACTTATTTATTTGTTATTGATTAAATATACGCATTATCCTCACTGATAAAACTAGCTTTCGTTAAAATCAGTTTCGTTAAGATCATTAATATTTATACAGCGTGTCTTTACAATCTCGACAATAAATGAACACACTTATAGAGGATAAATTTTTAAAATTGTATTAAACATTTACATTTTTTAAACATCAATATTTACCGAGTTATAAATTTTCCAAAAAACAGAATTTTAGAACACCCTTACGTATAAAACTGTAACGTAAAGTTCACAATAAAAAGTTAACAAGTAAAATTTGGTCACAAACCATATAAATGGGTTGAATAATTTTAAAGAGACAAAACTTGCTTTTAGAAGGAGAGGCTTGTAATGCGACACTGTGGCAACGAATGAAAAAGTCTCTGAATATATGAATCAGTCAGTTGTAGTTGTATAGGATGTTACAAATTTTGTTTCTTTTTTACTTAATTACTTTGTTTGAAAAATATTTTTTTTAATTATGGATTTTTTTGACATAAAGATTTTTTTACGATTATTGGCAAGTAGCGTTAGACGTGTTCATTTATTGTCGCGTTGGTAACGACACGCTGTATATGATCATATAATTTTGATGAGTGATTTTACCGCTTGTTTGTTAAAAATTGTTATAAAAGGCGTAAAGTACAAGTGTTACACCTGTACCTGCGTTTCGTCTGGTGAGTAAGGTGGCCGGGGCCCGCTTTATTTAAAAGTGGCAAAGCATTTGCAACCCTACGGGTGTTTCAAATGTCCATGGGCGGCGGTTATTGCTTAACATCAGGTGAACCGTCAGCTCGCTTGCCATTTTTTCACATAAAAGAAAATTATTTCCGTGCTTCTTTGCTAAAATCTGTCTTTAATTATTTTAATCTTAATCTGTTACCTCTTTCGGCTACTTACTTACTTTCTAAATTGCACCCCCTCTCTTCTCAACCTAATAAGCGTGTCATCGCCTAGTAGCGTAATCTCTCATGGCTAACTGGCCACATGGCCAACTGGCCACTTCCTCTTCTTACCACGACCTGATCTACCTTTCCTATCGCTTTCATGTCCCTATGCGCAAACCGCAATATCTCCTTCTTCGTAGTAATAAGGGCGTAGACTTAAAGCATGGCAATGTGATTCCGCTGCTTTATAATGCTAATCGTCAATAGTGTCGGTGAAAAGGGTCCTAGTTTCACGGAGATTATATTAAATTTGTTTAATAAGCATGCACCGATCCGAAGAATTAAACGAAATCCTGCACCATGGCTCAATAATGACATAAAGTAATTAATGGCTCTTCGGGACAAAGCCAAAAGAAAATACAAGCGTTGTCCTACCGAGAAAAACCTAAAATATTTTAAAGTGCTGCGAAACCACTGCAATCGTATCTGTAGAAATGAAAATAGGAGCTATTTCCACGATTCTCTCAGTAATCGAAGCCAATCTGTTATAGGAGATTCCTAAACTCTAACGGTACCGGAAAGCCGCCTTTCGTTACGACGATGGCTGTTATAGAAACCATTTTACACCATAAATGAGTTTTTAAATTGTAATGCCTAAATGTTGTTCCCATTATTTTATTTATTTTTTGCTAAAAATCGATGCATTATTTAATTAATAAAAGTGAAGTAAAGTATCAGCCTATACATGTCCCACTGCTGGGCAAAGGCCTCCTCTATACAGAGGGTATCAGGGCATAGTCCACCACTCGGCCCCACTGCGGATTGGCGGACTTCACATATTTTCGAAATATATTTTTTTTGTTATTATTTCGAAAATATGCAGGTTTCCTCACGATGTTTTCCTTCACCGCGGAGCAAGTGATAAGTCAGCACTTAAAGTTAAAAACTACATTGGTGCCGGCACCGGGGATCGAACTCAGGTTGCTCGAGTATATTGAATTAAAGGCGAGCGCCCGGACACTCAGCTATCACGGCTCTAATTAATTAAATAATATATCTATTAAAATTGTATAAGGACGTTTCTAGTTATGTGTAAAAAAAAATTAGAATTAACTGTATTATAAATATATCTTTGGACATTTGCATGCTGGTTAAAACAGCTAAATAGATTAGTTAGCTTGACATTTGTGAAAACAACTAGATAACAAGACCAAAATATTTTCTGTGCCTGTTTACCAGCAAATAAAGAAACTATGAGCTATGGGGATATTTAAATAAACGATTTTAACAAATATTTCTCTCAATCTTATAGAGCCTTGTATCAAATTCGTAAAAATGTCTGACTTGCCGAAACCAAACCTCTTTTTGACGAGGTAAAGTTGAAGTGTCTTACTTCTGCGTTTCGTCTGATGGGTGAGGTATCTAGGGCCGAGATTATTAAAAATTGGCAACACATCTGCAATCGGTGTTGCAAATATCCGTGGGCGGCGGTTATCACTTAACTTCAGGTGAACCGCCAGCGAGTTTGCCACTTTCTCACATTAAAAAAAAATCACATTAAAAATTGTATGATACGAGATTGCAACCCGATCTAAAATCTAAATATACCTAAGTTTACCTAAATGGTAACTAAGTATGGGGAAGGCCCGAGTAAATAGATCAAGAAGGATGAAGAAAATGTCGCCTTCTACAGTTAAAGGACTAAGCAATGAAGCATTAAATGGAACTTATTCGATGACTCCGTGGCGCAGTGGCCAAGGTATCGGCTTCGGCGTCGGGGGTCGTGGGTTCGATTCCCACATGGGACAACTATTTGTGTGACCCACGGATAGTTGTTTCGCATCTGGGTGTTTGTCCGCGTGTAATTTATGTCTGTAAAACGTCCCTACAGCACAGGATAATGTTATCCCAAAGTAAGAGCAATATTTTTGTTTAAATTAAAAAAAAAGTTGACTGATTTTATTTTAAAAGGGTTCACCTAAATTAGAAAACACTATGCTCATCACAGAATATTTTTCCAGTTGTTGGGATAGAACTCATACCCTCTAGCGCAAGGTTCTCTGTCATAATTCTCTGTGTACATATATTATATATAAAAATAAATAAAATAAAAAATACAATACACATTAACAAAAGAGTATAATCAGAGGCGGTTGCGTGTCAAATACATGGTACATTTATTAACACTCAATACACCGAAGGCGTCCTTTTCTTCTTCCTCCTTGATCTGATCCTATTTACTCGGGCCTTCCTCGTACTTAGTTACCATTTAGGTAAGCTTAAGTATATTTACGTTTCACAACCACAACACCACAAAGTCATCGGGTTACAATCTCGTATCATACAATAAATACATAACAGTCATCTTCAATTTGAGAGCCCTTTGGGATTCCGTCGCGGTGGCAAAAGACTTGATGGCCTGTCTTTGATCCGTCTTCTTTGAATCTTTAGAAGACTGGCTAGGGTTGTAACACAAGCAGCGACACCCGGTAAATCTACCTGAACGACCACCTAGCGAGCCGTTCCAAACCATCCAGTGTTAGATGCCAGGGCTGTCACCTAGGTAACTTCCGATTGCTCTCCAGGGTAAGGTGTCCACAGCGAAAGCGGAGAGGAGCACAGTGGTGCGGAGGACGTACAGGGCCGTGGAAACCGTACCCCAGGAAATCGACGAGGAAGCGTGCTCAAAAAGAATAGCAGAGCTGAAGGAAGCGAAGAATACTTACGGATCGACGAGTTCAAGCTACATGGAGCTAAGGGACGGCACCAAGATGCCTGTGATCGCTTTGGGCACCGCTTTGGTATGTAGGAATCCTAAGAATGCTAAAAGGTAACGCTAAGAAACCTTTAAAGCTTTTTCCTGAAGCTTTGCGGTGGTAGGGCCACGCAGCAGCCTCGGCTGTTGCACGAATGGGCAGGCCCGTCCGGGTAAGTACCACGACCTCACAGAAGACCAGTGTAAAGTGGATGTATGACAAATACTTTCGCGTTTCGTCTGGTGAGTGAGGTAGCCGGAGCCCAATTTTCAAAAGGTTGTCAACGCATCTGTAACCCTCGGGTGTAGCAGATGTCCATGGGCGGCGGTATTCGTTTAACATCAGGTGAACTGTCTGCTCGTTTGGCAACTTTTCACATAAAATAAACAAATTCTTGAAGCGTTACCAGACCGTATTTCTTGACGATAGACGGGATGAAAGTCTTCACTTTCATATTGAAGACTGCACTGTTACCTTAGTCGTATATTGGTGACATTATCATTAGACAGACATTATTCAATGTCTCCGATGATAGAATGATTAGGCACCGGGGAGACCAATTTTTCCAATCTATATTGGGTGGTTTGATAAATTGTGTAAAACCTCCAACAAGCATGTGTGTGAGCAACCAACTTTCAAATCGACTTTCTCACCTATAGTCATGATATCCTTAGGCAAACTTAATATTACCCCTTACTCCGTAAGCCTGTCTGTTTGATATACCTTACTTAAGGATAAATTCCTTCAAATTTTATTTGGTATAACTGTATTTGTTTGATTCTGTACGACTCAGTTAGTTCGCACAGCAGGTATTCTCCAACATTGGGGGCGTGGTCCGGATAGCGTCTGACACCTTAAGCTCACATTGCTAAACGGCAATCACATGAGCTCTTCAAGTCGATGCAAGTTCACGGTCACTTCGAAATTGTTCGAATTGTCCAAACGTTTCGGGCTCATTCCTGGACTCGTCGAGCAGTGCACAGTCCTAGCTCTGGTGTTCTCGTTCAAGATTGACAAGCGTCTGGTGAGGCACGTCGTGGAGGCGGCCATCGACCTGGGCTACCGCGCCATCGACACCGCCTTCATCTACGGCAACGAGAGGGAGGTAGGCGAGGGGATCAACTCGAAGATCCGCGATGGAACGGTCAAAAGGTGAAGAGACCTTTCGACAGACTTAGGAGGGATCTTCAAGAAGAGTGTTCATTAACCCCCCCTACCTTTTTTATGGAATCGGGGGGGGGGGGGGGATTAAAAAGATATCAATGACAGGGTTATGTGGGGTTCGGCCACCTTCTGTACATTTGGAGGGACTCTGGGATCTCTTAGGGAACGCACTAGTGGATACGAGTACATCGGTAACCCTACCTTATCGTTTCTTTCTTCGGTTAGTCTTACCTTATCGGTAGCCCACTCCTATCTTAAGGCCGGCAATGCAATTGCGACTCAACAGATGTTGCAAATGTCCATGGGCGACGTTGATCGCTTTTCATCAACTGACCCCCATGCTCGTTTGCCAGCTTTTTATAAAACAAGATTTGACCTTTCTGGCAAGATTTGTTTGGATCAGGTCCCTCCGGGTTAGTACCACGACCTCACAGAAGACCGGCGTAAAGTAGAAGTGTTACACTTCCTCGTTTCGTCTGGTGAGTGAGGTAGCCGGGGCCCACCTTATTAAAAGGTGGCAACACATCTGCAATCGGTGTTGCAGATGTGTTGCCACCTCCGTGGGCGGCGGTTATCACTTAACATCAGGTGAACCGCCAGCTCATTTGCCACTTTCTCACATAAAAAAGAGCAAGAGCTCAGAGTTGCTTATAACATGGAAAATATTAAGCTGAAAGGTACTTTTTACAAGTGAATATTGATTATTCAAGGAAACTTGATTTCGATTCAGTATGTCCATAATCGCTAACGCTGATGTTATTAATATAAATTGTGTTATATTATATGTGTTATAATAATCAGATTATGTTTAGCAGCTAGAAACATATATAAAAAAACCACAAAACCCCCGCTTGTTTTTTCAGGCTTCCTATTTTTGCCTCTTTTAAAAATTTTTAAAAGAGGCAAAAATAGGAAGAATTTTCTAAACCTTTGTTACACCTTACAATCCGTCTCCTCTCCAAACATCTTCAATTGTCGGGACATGTTCTCTCGACAATTGAGTTGATGTTGCACGTCAATAATGTTGACGCATCAGACGTTAATGCTGCAGGGAGGACCTCTACATCATCTCCAAGCTCTGGAGCACCTTCCACCGGCGGGACCTGGTTGAGCGCGCTTGCAGGGCCTCGTTAGAGGCCATGGGTCTTACCTATTTCGACCTATATCTCATACATAACCCTATGTCCCTAAAGGTAGGAACATATTTTTTAAGAACTTTATATTTAAGATCAGTTCTGCCTGAATATGTAGGTCTATAGAGAGGAAATTCAAAGGAGAACTAAGTTGACTGTATTTTTCTTATCATAAATAAAGTTGAATTATTGTATGTCCTATTAGTGTTCCTCAACATTCGATTGATGAAACTAACATTGCAACGGCAGGCAGATGATGCTGTAGTAAATTATGAAATGACGGATGAATCGATTACACATATGCATTAGCTACTCTGAAACAAGTTTAGGTACAGACGATGAAAATATTCTAGCCTAAGCTTTTAAGAGATGGATAAACAAAACAATTCCAACGAGAATGAGTTCTAGCGGATAAAATTTAATTAAAATGACGATTAACTCCACGAGTTGACGTAGAAAATTTTTTAGCCTCACCCTTTAAGAAAGAGATTTTATTAACCTATTAATTCATATGATATTGGGTTCTTCTATTCGTTAACAAAATGGGTATAGTCCATGAGCCCCAATTTCTTTTGCACAATGGTTATCAGGGCACAGTCCACCACGCGACCCCACTGCAGATTGATGACTTCACATATCTTCATTCAATTTCATCGGTGTCGGCACCGATAATCGAACTCGGGTTGCTCGACTAAATGTAAATAAAGTTGAGCGCCCGGACACTGAGCTATCACATTTTCCGTCTAAAAAGAGAGACCATACTCTTTCACAAAAGGCCGGACACGCATTTGTAAGCCCTCGGGTGTTGCAGGTGTCGATGGGTGGCGGTAATCACTCACCGTCGGATGAGCCTCGTTCTCGTTTGCCCCGTGTCTACATTAAAAAAAACGGCTTCACGTAAACTCTCCACAAAAAAGCGACGTAAAAGCCGTCACGTTTCCTCAAACCGAAGGAGGGCGGCGACCCGCTGCCGAAGATAGCGAACGTGCTGCAGTTCTCCGAGCACGACTTCATGGACGCGTGGTACGGGATTGAAGGTCTGGTCTCCGGCGGGCTGGCGGTCAGCGGGGGCCTCAGCAACTTCAACTCGGAGCAGGTGCACAGGGTCGCGGACAAGGGGCGGCTGAAGCCGGTGGTGAATCAGGTGAGGTCATTACGGGGCGTTTGAAGCCGGTGGTGAATCAGGTGAGGTCATTACGGGGCGTTTGAAGCCGGTGGTGAATCAGGTGAGGTCATTACGGGGCGTTTGAAGCCGGTGGTGAATCAGGTGAGGTCATTACGGGGCGTTTGAAGCCGGTGGTGAATCAGGTGAGGTCATTACGGGGCGTTTGAAGCCGGTGGTGAATCAGGTGAGGTCATTACGGGGCGTTTGAAGCCGGTGGTGAATCAGGTGAGGTCATTACGGGGCGCTTGAAGGCGGTCGTGAACCAGGTGAGGTCATTACGGGGCGCTAGAAGCCGGTAGTGAACCAGGTCAGGTCATTACGGGGCGCTAGAAGCCGGTAGTGAACCAGGTGAGGTCATTACGGGGCGCTAGAAGCCGGTATTGAACCAGGTGAGGTCATTACGGGGCGCTAGAAGCCGGTCGTGAACCAGGTGAGGTCATTATAGGGCGGTTGCCCTCAAGGGCGGCTAAAGCCGTGGACCAGGTGAGGTCATTACGGGGCGCTAGAAGCCGGTAGTGAACCAGGTCAGGTCATTACGGGGCGCTAGAAGCCGGTAGTGAACCAGGTGAGGTCATTACGGGGCGCTAGAAGCCGGTAGTGAACCAGGTGAGGTCATTACGGGGCGCTAGAAGCCGGTCGTGAACCAGGTGAGGTCATTACGGGGCGCTAGAAGCCGGTCGTGAACCAGGTGAGGTCATTATAGGGCGGTTGCCCTCAAGGGCGGCTAAAGCCGTGGACCAGGTGAGGTCATTACGGGGTGCTAGAAGCCGGTAGTGAACCACCAGGTGAGGTCAATCAAGGGCGGCTAAAGCCGTGGACCAGGTGAGGTCATTACGGGGCGCTAGAAGCCGGTAGTGAACCAGGTCAGGTCATTACGGGGCGCTAGAAGCCGGTAGTGAACCAGGTGAGGTCATTACGGGGCGCTAGAAGCCGGTATTGAACCAGGTGAGGTCATTACGGGGCGCTAGAAGCCGGTCGTGAACCAGGTGAGGTCATTATAAGGCGGTTGCCCTCAAGGGCGGCTAAAGCCGTGGACCAGGTGAGGTCATTACAGGTGCACAAGGTCACGGACTAGGGGCGGCTGAAGCCGGTCGTGAACCAGGTGAGGGTATTACAGATGCGGTTGTGGAAAGGTCGCCGCTGCTTCTTGGTCAGTCTAAATATGGTTCTCGAGCGGCAGCCTCGTACTCGGACAGCCACTAGATGGAGTGACGACCTGTGCAAGTGTGCGGGAAGTCGTTGCATGCAGGTGATGAAAATGATGAGTGATCAAATCACAAATGACGATGGTTCATGAAAATTATGATGATAATGAAAAGACGAAGAAGAAAACGACGATGATGATGATAAATATTATACGATTCTGTGCAGCAGATTCGACTGTTGCACGAATTGACAGGTCCGTCCGAGGAAGTTCCAAGACGGAGCCAAGGCCCACTTTTTAAAGGTTGTCGACACATCTGAAGCAGAGGTTGTATCATCAGGTGACCCGCATGCTCGTTTGCCTCCTTTTCCCATAAAAAAAAAAACACCGCTTCCCCGCCCCAAACGCTCCCGTCGCTTTACATACTCCAGAACATAATGTATGTACGAAATAATATCCGCCTACTTACAAAAAAGTAAATAGGTGAACTCTGGTACCGAGGTTTGGACTGGCTAAAACCAGAAAGTCGTTTCTTGGTAGGTGCATTAACTTTTATAATAAAATAGGTGATATCCACAAACAACTAATTATAAACAATTTCAATTTTTTTAAAAGCTACCCTAATTGCAAGGATCTATTATAGTGTCGAAGAATACGTCGAGGAGCAGGATGTGTCGAAATGACTCTTGCTCTGGCTGCTGCCAATTTTATACCTAAATAAGTTTGTATAGTTCCATAACAAAAAAAGAAATAACAAAAAGAACAAGACCGTAGAGTTTCTTGCCGGTTCTTCTCTGTTCAGTTCTAGTTTAGTGAACCGGTGGTAGTTCTTACTTTGACGTTCAATAAGAGCTTAAGTTAAAAGACTTTGGCTTTGAAACGGGACAGGTGGAGTGCCACCCCTACCTCAGCCAGGACCGGCTCTCCGGCTTCTGCGAGGCGTTCGGCATCAAGCTGGTCTGCTACGGCGCCTTAGGGTCCAAAGGCACCCCGAAGGCGTTCAAGAGCGCGCTGCCACCAGCCATCGAGGACCCCCTCGTGCAAGTGATGGCCGCCGGCTTGGGGATCACGCCGGCCCAGCTGCTGCTAGCGTGAGTCGCCACATTCCTGCCCTTACCCCATCTAGGATGGCAACATGTAATACATGTTGTAAGCATTCATCGGCTAGGTGCTAAGTGGTCAGCGCGCTTCCCATCAACGGCTGCATCGCCACTTACCATCAGGTGGGATGGCAGTCAAGTGCTGGCCAGTTTTGAATTTAAAAAATATATATAATATTATAAAGTATTATAATATTTATTATAATACTTTATAATATTTATTATAATACTTTACTACCCATTTTTTTTTCTTTTTTGATATATTTTTTCCTTTACCTAAACATTTTTTTTCTGTGTTTTTATTTTTTGTAATTTTATTGATTAAGTTCTGTACTATTTTAAGGTGACGGAATAAATGTCTTTAAATATAAGGATTTTTACGACCGGCCGCCTGTTATCAACTATCCTTGGGAAGAAACCCATCCCGAACAGTTATCCACGGGATACGAAACTTGCGTGAGAATCGAACCCACGGCCCAAGGCGTCGAGGCCAACAGCTTAGCAGCTGCACCACAAGTCACCTTGCCGAGTCAGCAGTCACGACAGATAACGCCGCTTTGTCAACCGACTTCAAAAAAGGAGGTCCTCAATTCGGTTGTCATTTGTATGTTATTACCTCATAACTCCGTCATTCCTGAACCGATTTTAAAAATTCTTTTAATCGGATTTGAACATCACTGATTATTACATATTTATATTTTTAATATTTTTTTTAAAAAAAGCAATTACAGTAAAATAATCCCCATAAAGTGCCACATCAAGGTGACCATTGTGCTATGTCGAATGAAATTAAATAAATGTTTATACAGCTGGAATTGCCCAGTATCTTATGGCAATGCAAAAGTAACAGACTATATATGTCCCTCTGCGAGGCAAATTCCTCCACAGTGCAGAGAATAATCCACCTCCCGACGCCATCGCGAACATATTTTTTACGGTGGTAGGGCCACGCAGCAGCCTCGGCTGTTGCACGAATGGGCAGGCCCGTCCGGGTAAGTACCACGACCTCACAGAAGACCAGCGTAAAGTGGAAGTATGACAAATACTTTCGCGTTTCGTCTGGTGAGTGAGGTAGACGGAGCCCAATTTTGAAAAGGTTGTCAACGCATCTGTAACCCTCGGGTGTGGCAAACATCAGGTGAACCGTCTGCTCGTTTGACAACTTTTCACATAAAAAAAAAAAAAAAAAAAAAAAAAATATCTATCATTATTTCGATGATAAAATGTAATTAAAATAGTAAAATTCATCGCACACCAATAAGTTGCGAAATGCCATTAGATATTGCGATAAAACATGATACTATCCTTACTTCCTTACTAATATGATAAAGGCGTTTGTAGGTATGTATGGATGGATGTCTGTTACTCTTTCACGCAAATACTAGATACTGAATGTATTTTAATGAAACTTTACAATAATATAGCTTATACATCAGAATAAAACATAGGCAACAATATAATTTATATACATATTTTATGTATATCTGTCTTTCTGTCTGAATATTACGCCTTTAGCCTAATAGCAGCTTGTAACTAATAAACGTTTCTTTCTTCTTTACTGATGAATGGCTAGGGATACAGGTATTCCCCGGGCACGTTGACCTTGCTTATGCGAACGTTTAACGTAGGTATTTTAGTGGGCTCTCCGTTATCGGGGAATCCCGCATAGCCCGCCCTACTTACTCTATCCGCAAGGCGGTGAGGATTCATGAAGGGTTTTCCCCCACGTTAAATAAAAGGTTCGCACTTGTACGACGCAGTACGATAGGAGTGAACTATACTAAGTTGAATCGAGTACCTGTTTCGTCGAACTTAAAAGTACTGTCGCTGTACATAAAAGTAACAGTGACAAATACCTGTTACAAAATGACAGCCTGTTATTTCATACTATGTTGTGACTCTGTGGTTTATGGCTTTGTTAGAAAGGGAAGCACGAGGTCTTATGACCGATGCAAGAAAGAGAGAGCTTGGGACAGTGAGTGTTCAGGAACAACTGTGATAAGGTGTAACAGTTTCTATCTCTATCTAACTAAAGTAAAGTAAAGAATCAGTAAAGAATAGCTTGTGACAGCGTATTAAGGAACTGTCATTTAAGCTTGTTCGTAACAGGTACAGGCTGTTAACTCGGGATATCTGTTATGTTTGCCTGTTGCGATAAACACGTGACTCCTACTACGAGCCCGACGAGGGTCTGAAGCCGCGCCCACAGGTTCCAGGTGCGGAAGGGCCGGGCCGTGGTGGCCAAGGCCTCCAGCGCCGGCCGCCTGCACGAGAACCTACTAGCGCAGAGGGTGCCCCTGGCGGCTGGCCAATTGACCGCCCTGAGTGCCCTCGACCGCCACAAAAGGACCTACACCCTCGAGGGGTAAGGCCCCAACGTTGTCTGTTTGTTGTTGTGATCATAATAATCACAATTGCCATTCATGTTGTTCGTTCGTCATTGTGATCATCATACATTAGTTATCGTCCTAATTGTCTTTTTTGTGAAACGGCAGCAAGCGAGCTGGTGGTTCACCTGATGATAATCGACCGCCCATGGTCTACAACACACCGAATACCTCACTCATGAAACGAAACGAAAGTATACTACTTGTATTACCACTTCACGCCGGGCTTCGGTGAGGCTATGGCACTTCCCCGGACGTGCCTGCCCATTCGTGCAACAGCTTGAGCTGTTGCGTGGCGGCCCTACCACAGAACCGAAGTCATTATCACCTTAATCGTCATATTTGTCATCACCACAGTCACTCATCATTTTCATTGTAATTCCTCACCGAAATCATCTTCATTGACGTTATCTCATCTTTTAAACAAGCAATTCTTGTACATATATGTATCGGAAACGGCTCCAGCGATTTTCATGAAATTTACTATGTGCGTAGATTCGGGGGCGAAAAATCGATCTAGCTAGGTTTCATTTTTAGAAAATGTCCTTTTATCCCTGTTTTCAGGGAATGAAAAATATCATTCGAATATGACGGTAAATTTCGCCGCAAAAAAAATGTTATAATAGCTCGGTCGGTAGTCGGGCGGCCCCAAAACAGACGGCCGTGGTTCGTATCACGAATCACGATCATTTACACACTTATTTTTTTTTTTACTTTTTTTCTATACCAGATCATGATTTCTTTATTTTTTATTTTTGTCGATCCAGATGATTTTGTTATTTTTCCCTTTCTTTTAAAGTTCTTTCTTTTGTGAAAAACAGCAGTTCATATTTTGTTATTATTACGTCGGTACGATCCAAAAATATTATACATATTTCATTACACGATTTATCAAAAAAAAAACAAACCGAGCAAGCTCGGTCCTTCAGGTACTATTCACTCATCATCAAAATCATCACAATTATCAAGTATTAATCGTCATCATTATAAATGGTCACTCATCATTTATCGTAATGTTCATTGTCACCCCTACATTTTTGTTACCATAGTCCTCCGCAATTTCTATTTAAATATATTCAATTTATTTTAATTCCCTTAATTAGACAATTTTAATTATCGATTAAGGAATGCACAGATCAGAAAAATTCAATGTCTGAGGAACATCACTATAATTGTTAATACGCCTTCGCACAGTATTGTAGCAAATAAATTAATGACACTGGACTCTCTTCTCTTTCAGCTTTGGCGAGACCCACAAAAACTATCCTTTCAAAATTGCCTTTTGAAGTTTGAAACACCGTATATGTGGATTGCAAATTTTTTTTTAATTTTTTTATACAACAACCATGCCAGTGGATATTATGACGTATTAGGATTTTACAGTCGCATTTTTTTTAAAGTTATATTTTTATGTACAGGTGAGACAAAATGATGAGAGTTAAATTTTAAGAAGCGCGCCTTATATATTTTCGCGATTTTTATATATTTTTATTACTTATATCCTATTCCAGTCTTTTTATTATTTTATTGTAATTAATTATTTGCATGCAATTAAAAACTATAGCCGTACTATAACTACTAGAGCCTGGATAGCTCAGTGCCAGCAACAATGAAATTGTTAATTTTAAGTGCTAGTTTTTTCAAGTGCTCCGCGGTGAAGGAAAACATCGTGATGAAACCTGCATATTTTCGAAATAATAACAAAAAAATTTCGAAGATATGTGAAGGCCACCAATTCGCAGTGGGGCAGCGTGGCGGAATTTTTATTTTGTTACGCTAAAGAAGTTCAACTTCTTATATGCTATCTTACGTGCGTAATTATGTACGCATTATATGTACATTTTTAGTTTAGTTTTAAATTTTGACGTCCTTTATTTTAAATTAGCGACTTAGAATGACTATAACTTGAGCTAATGGCTTCATGATCGATACCATCTCTTTCTCCTATGTTCTCATATGCTTAGAAAGTAGAAAATTTCCAATTATGTGAATGGATGAAAACATTAATATATTTTTATATTTCCAATATTTATTTTCTTTTCAATAGCATTAAACAATATCGTGTTTATTGTATAAACGATTTTAAGGAACAATTTCTTATTTATAATAAGTAAATAATAATTTGTTCTTCGCCTATTTATCTTTTATGTTTGCGTATTTATTAAATTACAATGTATGCATTATTCCTAGTACATAGATTAAAATTAATAAAGGCAGGTTTTATAGCCCTAATAATATTTTTGTAGAGAATAATTTCAATTTTAACAACACATTTTTATGAAATATGTAGAAAATTAAAATACATGATATAATTTGTATTAAAAAATATTGAAATATTATTTAATATTTATATTAAAATATTGTTTAATAATAATAGATTAGATATGGAGGTTTTATGTTGTATATTTATTGGTATTTTATATGGAATATTTTAAGCGTGTTATGGGGTGTAGAGATAAGGAAGTATCTCATATGTAATGACAAGAATGGCGCTTATGTAGTATAAGATATAATTATGTAGTATAAGACGATAGTAAACTAAGTAAAGAATGGAAAAATAAATTAGTGCTTTAGGCAAACTTTTGAGCAGTCACAAAAACTTTATGAAACTGCTACCTAAAACGGCCAAATATCCAAGACATTATCTTAAAAACTTATTTTGTTTAGACATAAATATTTTTTCTATTTACCTCTTAAGTTATGCCAGAATAGAACAAATTAAACAAGCTAATTAGTTATTATAAAGGAATTAAAAAAAGCTCTTAAATGTTCCAACAATTATAGATGAACACATCTTTCTAACATAATATACAAGTATAAACTAAATAAATAAACTTATACCCAATAAAAATCCTTACTTACTTATAATTAAATTACTATCCTAGTGTGAGAAAAACGTAAAAAAATAACTAAAAATTAAACAGCAATAACTAATATTATTATATTACTAGTGAATTATAATTAACTATGATCATTATTCTTAGCTTGTAAACCTTCACAATGTCTGTCTCCTTTTTTGTCCTACTCTAACAATAATTGTCGCTTTCTACAAAAAAAAAACTTTTTAATGTATTGACTGAGATACTACTCTTTATCTTTACACTCCATATATTAGATCAAGGTATTGTAACCGCGACCTAGAGTAAAATTTTGTTATTAAATAAAATCAATGGATTTTCTAATATCATGTGCTCGTAATATAGCTTTTCTAAATACTATCAATAATTTTAAATAAATTGTTTTTTTGGTACATCCGAATTTTATTGCCAACGAAAAAACGTTTTCATAAAAATTGCCCTCTTAAATAGAAACTACATTTTCTAGCACCAAAAATCATTTCATATGGAAAAATATTATCAAGAAAAACTGGCGCTTGGCTCTCAGACTAGGTACATAATTATTAATACAGATTTCTTTTATTCTGCATGATCAAATCTATGTCCCTAAAATCTTACCTGATATCGTAAAATCTAAACACAAACCCGATTCCTGTACCAAGGTCACTAACGTGTAGTAAGAGCGAGACAGACAGAAACTCAGACAGGGAGCGAGAACGAGACAGCTATACCCCGCTTATGAAACTACTTCACAATGACTAAGTCATAGATAAGACATATATACTGAAACTGGACAAGTTCAGAGGATAAAGTACATTCCCCTACGTGTAATGGCTAACAACTTGACATTGGCGGAATTGTGATAACTCACAAAGCAAGCCATTATTAAGAAGAAGAAGAAGAGGATAAAGTAAACCAGGGTACAAATAAGACAGAGATAGCTAATGTCGCACTTGTCACCTATCTCTGTCCCTTTTGTTATCAAAACACAAGTCTTATTTAAAGAAACATTTAATTAACTCAAATTCGAAAAACATTAAAATGCATTTACAGGTGGGATCAAATGTTACAAGCGACAATCTTCTTATTATAAAATATTTTCAGGTAGCCATAATTATATTCGTCCCACTATTGGGCAAAGCCCTGCCTTACTCTTGCTGTATTATAAACATAATCATTAATATCTTTTATTGATATAATTATTCATAATAACATGAACGAATAGTTAAAATATGTTAAAAATTCGACCAAACTGCTCGGAAAAAATTTATCTCACTCCATGGTCATGACATAATATGGATCTTAGATTGCAAAAAGAACATTAATTAATGTCATTTCACAAAACACAATAAACAAGCCTTTTTTTCAACCATTCAAAACTTCATTTAGGGAGTTAAACATGTAAAATTGTATGGATGATTTGTATCCAACAACACTGAATTTATATGAAATCAATTTTTACTTAATCACAATTACATTACCAACGTTATACTAATAAAAGTAAAATAGCTTCCTCACAATATGAAGTATAAACTATTTAACAATATTGTCAGTTAAATATATACACAAATTAATATTGTAGCCTCAAAGCGTCACGATTTCGCCAGAGGCTTGCTCACCAACCCTGCGAAAGAACAAGCAATTTAGTAACCGCAGTTGCCAAGGTATTGGCTTCGGCCAGGCGTTCGATTGTAGGTTCGATCCCTCATAAGACAAGTATTTGTGTGACCCACAGGTAGTTGTTTCTGATCTGGGTGTTTGTTCTCGTGAAAGTTATAATGTAAAATGTTACAACACAGGATAATCTTGTTCTACAGTAAGGGTCATGTTCCTGAAGGGAAGACACCAAATTGAACTTGAATTGTTGGAACTTACTACCCAACCACTTCCACAAATACAATAAACACGTTTTTTCCCTTTTCTTATTCAAGATCCTTGTTTATTGAGAAACAAAACCGAAACAAACCGAGCAAAGATCGGGCATCCCTGTACTTTGAGTTTATTGCTTTGAGTACTTTGAGTTGAAGTAAAACTTCTTTAGGCGCGACTAGGGAGTAACTCAGATTTTTTTCTGACGGAAGTAACGCTTTTTTCTATCCATTTCATACCAAGAAAGTCTATGTGTTCAGACAGTACGGATAGAGCTAACCCATACATACAACGGGAGATAATGCTGCCTTGCTCTACTATGAAAAAAGAGCTTAATGTACCAAAACAAAGCTTGCACTCACTCGGTATATGTGTATGTGGCCGTCGGATGCTTTGTGAAATGCCAGCAAACTTCGAAGCGCTCATCCCTGTAAAATTAAAGAAACACATGTTACTCATATTTAATTTTATGTTAAGTTTATAGTGAGCTAATATCTGCATTTAAGGCGAAACATTAAAAAAATTGTAGAAAAGATTACACTTTTAAGATTCGGACACAAATCCGCCACTGATATTCTTGATTTAAAATTTAATAATGTGGTAGATAAATGTCGTAATCTTTAATACTTATTCTGGTTTCATACCCAAAGGGTAAAACGGGATCCTGTCACTAAGACTCCACTGTCTGTCTGTATATCTGTCTCAGGGATGTATTTTATGAACTGTGATAGTTAGTTGAAATTATCACAGATGATGTCTACCAACCAATACCGTAAAACAGGATAAAAAATTAGTGGTTCCATACAACAGACATGATTTTTTTTTCGCCGTTTTTATACACAATGGTATGGAACCCTTCGTCTGCAAGGCGTTACGATCCATTTCTAACAAAAAAATACTTTAATACTATCTCTAGCCTCATACTGCTAATTAAGACTCGAATATGTTTATCAAAGACATTACTCACTCGGACTGCTCCTTAGTAGATTCTTCTTCACTATCTTCTGAACGCTGTTGGGCGCCATCTGAGGGATCCTCGTGTTCTTCAAAATCGCACCGTTCACAACATTACTTCTTCTATGAGACAACTGTTTCGTCTTCAGTGACTTGTCTTTGAAACCCGCTGGCCCAGAAGACTTTTTGCCAACTGCCTTGGACGGCCCAATAGTTTTCGGTCTTTCTGTGTTGTCTCTGTTTAATTCTGCATTCTTCTTCGACTTCTGTGTCTCTTTGTTCGAGTTTTTGTTCATACTAGACGCGACCTGCTGTTTCAACTTATCTTCTGCATGGTTCTTTTTAGGTTTATGGTCTTTATTCAAGCTAGGTTGATTTGTCGTCTTGAAGCCTTTTGTGTGTTCGACGTTTTCCTTTACGACTCTATCATTGTCGCTTTTGGGGTCTTGTTTATCATGACCACTCCTCTTGATGGTACCCGCTGGTCGTCTATCACTTCTTCCATCAGTAACTTGCTCGGTCTTCTTCTGTGCATGTTTATCTTTGACTTTTGAATGGACAACATCAGCTGCACTGTTGTGGCCATCTATTTTTGGTTCGGATACTTTTTTTATACGCTCATCGTCAATGTCTTTAGGTTTCCTCGCCATCTGTTCACCGGCACCAGCTGCAGCGCCGGTTCTCTCACCGGCCCTTTCGCCTCCCGCATTATTTACCCCACTCCCCCCGATCCCGGCATCTCTGTCTCCCTTGCCGCTTCCGCCGTTTCGATTTTCGCCTTTATTCTCTTTCCCCTTCGGTCTGGATTTCTTTGGGGGCGCCTTGGGTGGTGCCATAGCCTCGCTGTCTTCTCTCTTCCTCTTGGTCGGCTGGTCGCCCTTCTGCGTTGCGGTCTCGGATTCGGAGGCCGTACTCTCCGGTAGGTTTAGGCCCTGGACCTCGAGGCATACGTTGATGATCTTCGAGAGCAGGCCAGTCCTCTCGTCCGTGTCGATGGTGGGATCCGAGAGCGCCTTGTGGGCCTCCTTAATTGTGTGGATGTGAGCCTCGTCTGGAAACGCGAAAGATCTCGTCTCTTATGCAGGTCATTTTTTTTTATTAACGAAAAACAAAACCTACTTCGAGTATTCATTTTACAATTGATTTTCAGGAGCTTCCCACGTATCTGCTGAGCCCAAGATCCAATACCAATGAAATTAATATGGGACCACATGGGAAGCGTCAGCTTTCAAATAAAAATGAATCATCAAGCGGTTCCCTCAGTAGAAAGTTCTGAGGTAACAAACATAAAGAAATACAGTCGAATTGAGGACCTCCTTTTTTAAAGTCGGTTGACAAGTAAGCAGTATTTCTCGGTGCGAAAATTCCGACGTGTATCTAAGTCTGTTTCTATTGCATTTATAGCAACATCTATGGAGAGAAATGGTGTGATGAAATAATCTCTAACCATTTGTGACTTTCCAAGATCAGCTCGGCTTGATCAAACTGATACACGACCCAAACTTACATTGTATTCTGTGAGGCTCATTTTAACTTTTTTTTTATGTGATGTAGCGAACGAGCTGGCGGTTCACCTGTTTTTAAGTATTAACGGCCGCCCAACACGGCATTTCCAACAGCCGTAGGGTTGCAAATGCTTCGCCACCTTTAAATAAAGTGAGCCCCGGCTACCTCACTCACCAAACGAAACGCAGAAGTGTAGCACTTCTACTTTACGCCGGTCTTCTGTGATATCGTGGCACTTACCCGGACGGACCTGCCCATTCGTGCAACAGGGAAAACTGTTGCGGGCCCTACCACAGTGACAACACAATCGTTACACATACTCCGTGTTATATCAAGGCAGAACTATCAACCATATTGGTTTTTCTAAACTCTACTCAATCCCAATACATTTATTGTTCTTGTAACAAGTGCTATTATGAAGCCCTCACCCACATACTCCAGATCGAACTTCATGCGATGGTGGAACGGCGCGACGGGCGAAGAGGTGTTCTGCAGCATCCAGGATATTTGCAAGAGGTCCCCGCACTTCAGCTGGTAACCACCCTCGGGCTGGTGGACCGTAGTGGTTGGTGTTAGCACTAGACCCAGGTTTAAGATTCCCCATAAACGATTGCCGGAAGGACTAAATGTGGTTACTTCTTTTACTTGTTATCTTCACCGGAGAAGTTTTGACCCCTTCGAGTGTATAAATCCGAAAAATTGAAAATTTAGCATAGCCAATATATAAGTCATGGAACTTATTGATTGTGGCAAAGAAACAATATTTTTGTATATTTTGTAAATGAACAAGTTCTATACAATAAAATTTGTAGAAAAAGTGCGAAAAGTTCTATACTAGTTTAACCAAAAAGAAAATATGTTCTTTTTCTCTCCTTTAGCATCTTTTTTTTCAGTTATTTACGTTTATCTATCAAAATATATCAAAATTAAACCAATATAGATATTGTTTAGAAAATATGGGAACACCTGCAACACAACCTCACACAAGCAGTGTTGGTATGAAATCATGTTTTAATTTTGTTCTAAGAGATTTGGATCAAACCCTTACCCCCCCCCCCCCCCCCTTCCTCCAAACGTAAAGACTCACCAGAGGCGCCATCCGGAGGACGGCCGAGTGCGTGGCCGCCAACTGGGCGAGGGTGCAGCGACGCGAGCGGTGAGCGCTGGAGTACGCCTTCAGAACCTGCGTCACGTCACGATGTGTCACGACACGTCACGACACGGGATTTGCGTGTCACGTGACACCGCACTGGGTCAGATCACGTGACACTGCGTCTAACGAGAAGCGTCCGTTGTGCAGGCCGACGACGTACGCGTCGAGATATGTCTGGACGCGTCACGTCACGGTAATTGAGGAGGGTCATGGGATCGCAACACGTCTGGTAACGTGACACTGCGTCTGACCAGAGGCTTGCGTGGAGCAGGCCGACGTACGCGTCGAGATATGTCAGGACGCGTCACGTCACGGGAATTGGGAGGGTGTGTGTGTGTCTTACCGTGGTAGGACAAGCCACTTTCGGCTGTTGCACGAATGGGCTAGTACGTCCGGATAAGTACCACGAGATTACAGAAGACCGGCGTAAAGTAGAGGCGTGAGTGAGGTAGCCGGGGCCCACTTTATTTAAAGATGGCAACACATTTGAAATCCCACGGGTGTTGCAAATGCCGCGTTGGGCGGCCGTTATTACCTAAAACCGGGTGAACCGCCAGCTCGTTTGCCACTTCACATAAAAAAAAGTTAAAATGAGCCTCACAGAATACCGGCGTAAAGTTACACTAAGAAACGTTACACTTCTGCGTTTTATTATAAGGCGACGAATAATATTAACGCATCTGCAACCCCACGGGTGTTGCAAATGTCCATCGGCGGCGGTTATCATAAGGCGAACCGCCAGCTCTTTTGCCACATCCTCACATTAAAAACATGTTTCTAGTATTGTAATAGACAACAGTCAGACCGTCTTTAAATTCTTTTTAGGGTTTCCTACCCAAAGGGTAAAACAAGACCCTATAACTAATACTATGATGTCTCTCTATCTATCTATCTATCTATCTGTCTGTCTATCTGTCTGTCTGTCCGTCTGTCACCAGCCTGTATCTCATGAACGTATCTCGTGATAGTCAGACAGTTGAAATTTTTTAGACAATATTATGGGTTCTTAATAATGACCTCGGGTTCTTAAGACTGACCTCGAAAGCGTCACTCGGCCTGGTCAACTCATGGAGTATGGAGTTGTTCAGCTCAGCCTCGTGAGGCTTCTTTAGGGCGGTGACAGATAAGCCGCGGTAGGACAGCGGACCGAATCGCCTGTTCTGGAAACGGAGAAGCAAGATATAATAAAGGAGCCCCTTTTTGAGAGTCAACTATGATAATAATATGTACACGCTCTTACTGCTGTGTTTGAGCTTTGAACCTATATTTTTACACGGTCAAGTTTGTATGCTGGAAAGGATATAACAATAGATGGCATTGCTTCAAATGCTAAGAAAACAATGTAGAGGAATGCGTTAAGATTTTCGTCGGTGTGGTCATCAGCCGTTTAGCTCAGTGGCTAGAGCGTTTGAATGCCGAAGACGTGGGTTCAATCCCACAGCGGCGACAATTTTTCGCACACGGTCAACTTTCTTCATAGACAGGACCAGGTTTGAAATATTAAAAAACAAACGTTGTTTTGTGGAATTTCGTAAAATCCGTTCTTAGCTGCCCTCTACTCGGCGAACGGAATATTTTCTTTCGGACACATTTTTTACACAACATTCTCTAGTCCCAAACTAAGCAACGCTTGTACTATGGGTACTAGAAAACTGATAAACATACTTAAACGTACTTTTCTTTTGTAAATAAATACATATTATACATATGAAAACACCCAGACACTGGAAAAACACTATGTTCATCGCACAATATTTTTCCAGTAGTGGGGATCGAACCCACACCCTCTGGCGCAAGAGGCAGGGTCACTACTCCCCACGCCAATCGGGGTGTCAGAATATTCCTAGCAAATTTCAAGTCTCTAAGCTTTATGGTTCCAGAGATATCGTGATGAGTCAATTATCGGTGGAAATCTCTTATATACAGCGTGTCGTTACCATCGCAACAATAAATGAACACACATATAGGGGATAACTTTTTAAAGTTGTATTAAACATTTAAATTCTTTAAACATCAATATTTACAGAGTTATTAAATTTTCTAAAACACAGAATTTTAGAACACCCTTACCTATAAACGTATAGAAGCGTAACGTAAAGGTCACAAAGCATATGAATGGGTTGAATGAATTTAAAAGAGACAAAACATACTGTTAGAAGGAGAGGCTTGTAATACGACGCTGTGACGCGAGATGTATAGGATGTTACAAATTTTGTTTCTTTTTTACTTAATTAGTTTGTTTGAAAAAATTTTTTTTATAATTATGGATTTTGTTTAACGTTAATATTTTTTTATGATTATTGGCAAGTAGCGTTAGACGTGTGTTCATTCATTGTCGCGATGGTAACGACACGCTGTATATAGAGAAGATGAGTATTAGGGCTGTTCAGAGGCCTTTGACGTGCTCTGCATGTCCCATGTAAACAATCTTAAGTACTACAGTATTACCGGTTGGTGCACGAAGAATGTCATGGAGAAAGGCACCAGGTCAACTCTACACTCGACGGTCACCTCCCTCCATACACCTTCTTCGGTCACCGGGAGCTCCCTGTAATGTAATTATTGGTAACATTTAGGTGGTTGAAGGTTTTAATTCTTTGTTGCGACATTTTGTCTTACACGTGTCTGGTGGACAGCTTTATTAGGTGATTTATAATATATAACATAGGGTGTTTTAAATCTCTTCTGTAATCTGCCTCTCTGCTTATTTTTTAATTTGGGTAATCAGAGGATATACAGGGTGGCTTTTCTAAAGATGCCCAAATTCACACAGGAGGTTCAGACTCTGTATTATAATCGTTTATTGAAATAAAAACATTTTTTTTCTTCAAAAAAATTGCCATTCCATTCCCTAAAAAACAGAATTTGTTGACAATGTGGTAATCATTCATAAATGCGTCGTATACTTTTGAAACGAACTTGTGTGCGTTAGTTATGAATGATCGCGCGTAAAATAAATGAGTTGCCCACAAAACGCACAGTTATTGAAATAAGTTCAAATGAATGTATTTAATTAATTACGACTGGAGTTGTGACATTAAAAGACTACTGTGGAAGGACCATGCAACAGTCAGGTAAGTACCACAACCTCACAGAAGACCGGCGTGAAGTGAAAGTGTTATACTTCTATGTTTCGTCTGGTGGGTGAGGTAGCCAGAGCCCACTTAATTAATAGACGACAACGCATCTGTAACCCTACGGGTGTTGCAAATGTCAATGGGCGGCGGTTATCACTTAACATCACGTGAACCACTTGGTTGCCGCCTTCTCACATAAGAAAACATAAATTAGTGGACTGACGACATCACAGGAGTCATGGCAAATGGTGAATATGACAAAGTGTTGTTTGATGTGAAGTTCTAAGAGGGCCTCGCCCTTCAACAGCGGATAACCCTTTACGGCTGTAGATGAAAATATTAAAGCAACACTTCTGCTAAAGTAAATTGATTTCTCATCTTTATTTACCCATCAAATTTTGGATCTCCAACAAGAATGTTGACTTCAGACTGCAGAACCTGGAGGCCTGTCAGCTCTTGGGTCGCATCGAGGCATGTTTGAAGCGTGGAATATTCAATCTTCAAGTTGGGTATAGACGGTTCAATATCAAGTGGGATTGAAAGCTCCGAATCAGAATCTGAACTGGAAAGTAAAGAGAACAGTATAACATTAGTTTGCACTTGTTTTAAACACAACAATACCAAAAAAAATATGACACAAAATGAACTTCACTGCAAGAAAGGGTTCAAGCATAATAGCTATTCAGTATTACAGAGTACAATGGCCTTATTAATAAAAACAAATTCTTTCACTAAGTTGACAAAAAATATTGATATGATTTTTATTGTTTAAAAATAATTTAGGAATGCAAGGTCAATAAACCTTGTATATTTTCGAAATAATAACAAAAAAAAAATATTTCAAAGATATGTGAAGTCCACCAATCTGCAGTGGGGCCGTGTGGGGGACTATGCCCTGATACCCTCTGTATAGAGGAGGCCTTTGCCCAGCAGTGGGACATGTATCGGCTGATACTTTACTTTTAGTTCTTATAGTGGCAGTCTAACATAAAATGCCAGTCTGCCACAAGACTACTCATTCGAATATTTTATTCATTTAAAATTTTTTTAACCAGACTATAAAATTAGCAGTTGTTTGAGAATGTTGGGTTGAATGGGAAAAAACAGTAATCGGACTTAAATATTTATGTTTTATTAGATGTAAAAAAACTTCCGTTAGCCAAATTTGACTCATGCATGCACTCTTCAACGAGAGCTTCTGGCTCCGCACTTTATATTCATTCATGTGATGACAGGACCACATAGAATTGGAGTGCTCTGAGTCGGGTCTGTGGGTCACTTTGAACCGAACCTAATCTAATACAAGACAACAGAATACTATTATCTCTTGTTCTACCAATTACAACAGAATAACATTATATCTTAACTTGCCACTGATGGCAGACTAGACACTTCATTTGATAATTTGTTTAACTGCTGAACACTTGTAAACTATACAAGTTTCACTAAAATATATTAATTTTTATGCCATCATATAATTTTTGCTAAATAATAAATCATAAATTTTTTAATGCCAATGGCATGGATATGGTAAAACCAGTATTTCTAGCAGATTTAACATGCACCCTGCCTCTACTACATGCCCAACAACAAATCTTACATGCCAATGAATGTTATTTATACACCGTGAAAAAAAGGAAATAGAATTCTGTTTAACTCCACAAAGGATTCTATTTGTATTTGAGTTACAATATTAGGCAACATCCGTTTGAGTTCAAATGTTTCTTAACGTTGGCGAAGCAAAACAGATTCTTAAATATTTTTAGGATGCCATGTCACTTTTACCTTTCTTCATATTTGATTTGATTTAGTTCGGTAAGTTTTGCGTCTTCGATTTGCCTTTCAAAATAATTCAATTCTCTAAGGAGCTTTTCTCTTTGTAAAGTTAAAGCCTTTTTCTTGTTGTCAACACTATTCATTCGTGACATTTTATATAAACTATATTTTAAAAGTTATTCTCGAGTTCTTCAAGTTATTTATATTTTATATATTAATAGATGTAGCTTTATAATAAAAAAACTAGATTTTATTTAAAATTAATCAATAAACCTTTAAGTATGTAAATTGTAAACTTTGTTTTCTTTCTTCTTCTTCAATCACAAACGCCTTTAAGTAAAATTCTCAATTTTATAATATTCACATTAAAATTGTAATAGGCAAATAAAAACTTCAAAAATCCATCATGGTGGATCAAATTCGAGCTTTGTTTTCTTTTTCAAATAACGTACGCTTCAGCAATTTTTTTTAGGGGTATCGATGATGGTCGATGGTTTCGAACTTTCTGCCATTGTTTTAGTTATATTATAAAATAAAGGTAAATTTAAACAATCCTTTATAAAAATCAACTTACGTTAACAAATTTCATTAAATTAAATTAAATTAAATGTTTACTTTCAGTACCATCAATTATTAGGATTAATTCTTGAAATTAGAAATATATTAATATAGACAATTGACAAAAAAAATCCAAGTTAGTTACAATTTCAAAAAAAGGGATTTATATTGTCATAAATTATTAGCATAACAATAATGGACGGCATCAATAATCTCATTAAAATCTCCACAGGTGTCCCATATTCATATACTGGATCCGATTTTATATACTACTCGGTATGACTTGAAATAACTATTAAAGTGAAATTTTTTTAATAATAATATTTAAGTTTTTGCAATGATTGTTCAATCATGCAAAGAAAAAAATCCTCAAGTCAGGTACCTTCATGACCGTACGCACTTGAAAATCGATAATAATTTAGAAACTCATAGAGGATTAACACAATAATATTGTTTTTTTTTATAGAAGAACTAGAAAGTATGCACTAATTAATAACGACTAAATTTTGTCGATTAAACTAGCTTATTCGTTTAGCATGAGCTATTTTTAACTGCTGTTGCTCTACAACAAAAGAAATGGTTTCACAGTAACACAGTAGTACTGCATTACCACTATATAAAAATTAAGGCTTAGTCGTACTAACTACAAATTTTGGGACCAACACTGTTGGTGTGAAAGCTCTTGACGTAATGAGCTAAAAGTTTGAGAACCAAACCCACGAGCGATATTAGTTATTAAATCATTGGTTTCAACAAAACAGAAAAAAAGCTCTACCACTGAAATTTAACTTTTAAATTAAGTTTTTATCATGGTTACCTGTGCACTAAAGATTAAATATTAAAATCTTTAGAAAAATGGACAACTATTTCACCGCTATGGGAATCTAACTTGCGTCTTCCTGATATCGCGTCTAAATGCTTTAAACACTAAGTTAAACGGCTAGTTGCCACGCTGAGGAAAATCTCAAACTAATGGAGTAAAAAAGGTATAAAACAATGAATTTTTAAAATTGAAAATATTATAAGTTTGAATATGACTTCTCAACGAGGCTTCATCGTTGGTAATGCAATATTTCAAGATCGCGATAAAACGTTACTAATGCCTTTTCAGAACTAACAAAGCACCTCTTGTGCTAGAATAACGAAAATTGTTTTTTTCCATTTTCCACTATACATATATATTGTTAAATTTTTGTTAAATTATATTAAACAATTGATGAGATGACCTCGTGATTCAGACCAATGTCGGTAGCATTAAAAAATATGTCGAAATGTCAAATTAGTCAAATACAGAAACAGGGCCTTATTCAACAAAATATTGTTTGCAAAATATTTTTGTTATTGCTATCATGTAAACAAAAAACGCCTCACGCAAACAATTACAATGGTTACCCAACTTTAACCCAATTTAGATTTTAATAATGAGATTCTTATAAGAAAATTGAACAATTAAAAAAATTGCGTTTTATAAATAATCTATTAAACTTATGTTATTAGAATGTGTTACACTTCTGAATTGAGTTTCGATGAGCAGACTCCAGTGTGAAAGGACTGTACTTAGACAAGGAACTGTTAAAAGGTGCATAAGTCTTGTCCAAACAGCCGTAATAGGTCGATAATCAGTGCTGCAAAGTGTGTACAAGGAGCTCGAACTTCTGGAAGAAATGGGCCAAACGGGGAGCGCGATGCCCGGTAAGTGATGTTAATTGTTCTCTTGAATACCCCAACCCGCTCTAATTGGAGCCTAATTGGTTTTGTCGTTTTCTATTCTCTCATAACCTATATGCCTTACGTCGGATACTGTTTACTAGGTACAGCGTACACATTGTCGCGTCATGTAATCTACATTCATGCTATAAACGTGTAAACGTGCGTGTAAATATTGGTACGCATTCTGATGAATTTGAATTCTCACAACAAATAAAAACATATGTACCTAATTCAAAAATAACCAATTTTCTATCATAGACATAAAAGATTGTCTTCTTACGTCAATCGTGTAATGCCCGATGTCAAATAAATTAACACACGCAGTTATTTCGACGTGTATAAAAGCGCTTGTGCACTTCTATATGTTAGTATAATATGCCATTATAGTCTTTATATGGATCTAATACAATGCTTAATGTTACAAAGCAATCGGACCCGGCCCATCTAAGAATAATTGTATGCTAAACTTTGGGAGGCCTGTGTATAAGGAATGTTATCAAGATTGTTTGAATGCAGCTTTGAAACTGGCCTGCTAGTCCATTTAAGCATATTACCGATTCAAAAATAATTCCAATAAGCTATGACCGCAATTACTTATTATTGACCTGCTCTACTATGTATTGTTCTTATAAGCCTGTTTTGATATGAGATGGCAGCCGTGGCCAAATAGTTGGTTAAATTACATGCAATCTGGGGTCACAGGTTTAAACCTTATCAATTAATTATACTTATCATTAAGATAATTGTGATTAACTAGTTTAAGTTATAAGACAGGAATCCAAAGTATTGTTTATATTTCACCAATATCTTGCTTGATGGCAAGGAGATCAAGTAAAAATTAAATCAATTTAATTTTCAAATTCTATGAAGTTTAATACGAAGTGCAGAGTTGAACAACCCAATCATTACAACTGCTGGGTATTTTGTATAACAGAATTGTGTTCTCTGAAGGGTACACTTTTTTGTAATGGATGTATGTGATATGTATACATGGAGGCTTTTTTAGGTGTATCCATTCTTTTATATCAAATTCTAGACATACATAATGTTATATAAAAAATGATAAATATTTAAAATCGCTTGTAATTAATTAAATACATTCATTTGAACTTATCTCAAAAAGTGCGTGATTTATGGGTACTCATTTATTTTACGCGCGATCATTCATAGCTGACACGCACACAAGTTCATTTCAAAAGTATACGACGCATTTTTGAATGACTAAGGAATGGAATGGCAATTTTATTGAAAAAAAAAAGGTTGTTTTTATTTCAATAAACGATTATACTACCAAGTCATGTTACGATGAACCTCCTGTGTGAATATGCACCTTTAGGAAAGCCACCCTGTATAATATATATGAGGTGTTTTAGTGTTGGTTTCCCATGGTTTCACCAAATGCACTTGCTATATGAATTGACCCTTACATTGTGATGTTACAATTTAACATGTAAATGCCTGAAACATATATCTTCATTGGGGTCCAAAATAATAATTACGAAATGAGATGTTGTTATACAAAATTACATAAAATAAATAAATATATTCGGAAACATTTTCTTTTACACAACATTCTCTAGTCCCAAAGAAAGCAATGCTTGTAATATGCATACTAGAAAACTCATAAACATACTTCTCTTTTGTAAATAAATACTTATAAATATATAAACACCCAGTCCTGGAAAGAGACTAGGTTCATCGCACAATATTTTTCAAATTTTTCAGTAGTGGGGATTGAACCCACAACCTCTGGCGCGAGAGTCAGGTTCACTACTCCCCACACCAATTGGGTCGTCAATATAACCAACCAATTGATCACTTATGGACTAGAAATATTATACAAATACTACAAACACCTTGTGATGAAACAGGATATTTCAGATGTTATAAATTTTGTTTATAAACACAACCAGATGAAGAAATATGTATTAACAACATAACAATAAATTTGAAAATTATGGAGTCTGCCAACTCCCTGTTGGATCACCTAAAAATCTTTTGTACAGTAGATGCACAGCATCGAAATATTAATACACTGTTACTGTACTTTAAATTAATAGAATAGTAGGGCACTAAATTCCAGACCCCATGCATTTCAAATAAACATTACATTATTTTTATCATTTAGCAATAATGAAATTTTTTGTTGACCAATATTTGATATTTTGTTTATTGCTCTTTTTATTTTTAGGTGTACAATAAAGCATATTATTACTACTATCATTACATTTGTTTATGTAAGCCTGGATTACTAGAAATTGATTTATTTCTCTCATCTCACAATACTATACTGAAATACCTACTTCGTAATTGATACCATCTTTGTGTTGCTTTAGTTATGTGCCTTTCTTTTTTGTTGTAAACTTGTCAAAATTTAAGGTATGTTATGACGTCAAACAAATGTCAAATGTAATATTATTCAAAAATGGAGAATGTACCTCTCATTATTATTAATTAAAACTCATTTGAACTTTGTCAAATGTCAAATTTACGAGACTGTCTGCGCCAAAGAACCTTATTAAAATCTTGTTAATGTCATTTTAACGTTATGTATACAGTTGATAAAGTATATAGAACTCTATCTACATGGTTTAACACTCAATTTCGATTGCGCCGCGTTATATGCACCATAATAAATAACTTTCTTTGCGCAAACAGCTGACGATCATCTGTAGCGCAACTCTACCTGTCATTCTTTTGTTTTTTTCTGCGGAGCGCACGTGTATACGGCCAGCACTATTCATGCAATGCGAAATGGACATCGTGTTCGCATTGCAAATTCAGCTTTAACTTCGCGACGCTGAAGTCTAAATTCGTCCGCTCCGTGAGCTCCGTTTGTTTTTTTTCCTTGCCAAATATTAACTCTCCAACGAGC